GCAATATTGGTCTTCCCATAATAATATTAATTCAGGAAAAGCAAAAAACCAAAACGCTATTATAAATAAAGGTTTTCATATTATTCTCTGTTTTCATGTTTTCATTAATATTACTATAAATACAGATATTACATTTAAAGGTCAAAGTCTTCTCATACCTACGGTATAGTACCTTGAATTTAAAGGAAGACCTATTTTATAATTCCGAAAATAAGAAAAATAAAAGTTTTCTAATGCCACTGTTTCCATTCACTTGATGTTCGTAATTACTGAGTCACAAAGATAAATGGAATTTTCTCAAGCAAGTTTAAAGCTATTTATCATGACATTATACAATAAGATTCTCAAAAAAATCATGTCTTTAGTTCCATGATTTGACTGATTTCATCCCGTTTGAATCCCGTTTTCTTTAAAGATATGGAACTCTGAAAAGCATCATTTTTCAATGCATGTTTAATTGAATCTCACTGTAGGTATATTATTAAAATCTTTCGTCAAATTCAGTGTGTCAATAATGTCGGTCTGAATTATTCATCGCTTTCAGTTAGTCCGTTTCTCGCTTCTTACATATCAAGTATATTTTATGCTGCACTGGTGTCGTACGCAGGTAAGCTACTCTATTATTTAGTCACAGATTTAAAATCATTCGTATTTCGAACACTGACTGATTTACATTTTTTTATAAGTAACCTTTCTTCACAATTAAAATATAATATATATATTTAACTCCATGAATAAGTGTCAAAGTTAAATTTATTAGCTGCTTCATTATTATAATACTGTGCTATACCTAATCCTATACAGATAAAAGAATCCATAGAAAATACAAAATTAATTGAAAGTTGATATAATGAAATATCTCTATAGACATATATTTTAAAATGTTGTCTAATAAACTATAACTTTAAATTGGCTGTTACCTTAATGCTTGCAATAAATATTAATTACAATATTTATTTTCTAGAAATTAAAAATATTGTGATTAGTTACATGTATCGGGTTCACACGGGTCAGCTTAAGTCAGGCAGATGATCCCTAACGCGTCTCTCAATGCGTTAGTACACATGCCATATCATATTATATTGGCCTGTTTTGCTGTTCTGTAACTGATAATAAGCGACACGTCTTTCGTCAGATATGTGCCAACCAAAAATAAGTATGGCCACCGCACTGGGTACCCAGTAATGTATGGCCTTATTACTGCAACATACTGAAATATCAAGCTTTAGAGAACTCTTGCTCATTTATGCTATACACTATAAACAAACGGTCCGCACCCACTAGTTTATTGATAAAAATCTGTTCGGCAGTTTCTGGATTTCTCATGTTCAGACAGACGGAGGATGCAGTGACTTAATTTTTTTAAAAGGAATAAATTTAAGAAGAATTCATAAAAATCACCCGATTTCTCTAGTTACATATAAAAATTAAGAACATCTCCCAAGCGGCGTTTGTAACAATTGGTCTAACGTCAATTACGTTTCCGATGAGAGCGTATCAATCGAGAAAACAAGCGTTGGGCATAAAGTGCGGAAATCATAAGCCATTCATTCGGAGATTGCGTAACGCTTTATAACAGTAGAAATTCGGGGGAATTTAAGTCGGTGGAGCATTAAAGGGGACGGTAGACGGTTAATTCACCCCATAAGGGTCGCTCTGGCGCCGGGAATCCTGCCGTAGACGAAATTCTAAGTACGGTGTCTTGCTCGGCCCGAGACGCCACCGCTATATTGCGACGCTCATATTCTATAGTTGTTCAGGAATAGACTGATATTTTACATACGCATTTAAAACCTCTTTAAAGAATGTAAGTGCTCTATATGGTACGTACGTTTTCTATTTTAAATTTCATGGAATTATAAAAAAAATATAAAATTAAGAAATTTTATTAAAATCGATGTATTGAAAACGAAGTAAGTTTGGGTGCTTTATACAATGCGAAGCAACCCTTTCCAAAGAAATTTAATATATAAATTTATTTTTATAAGGATGACACATCCATTCAAGATTTTATATCGTTCTTTTGCTTTACAAAGTATCGCATTCAGCACCCGTTCAATCTTCACTGGAGCGTAGAGATATACGGCCGTATAAACCATAATATATACGTACCAAAAAAAAAACAGGTAAATTACGAGATTCTGTATCGTACGTGACGTCAAAGTCGCAGAAAATTCGATTATCTTCATCTGCCAGTCAGCAAACTATATTTCCAAGGATAACGATAAATTATATCCCTGAAATTATGCCGGGAACAAATTCACGGATAAATATTAATGCCGGTCCCATAAATTCGACGCCAAGCAAACAGAGGTACAAAGTTCAGTGGATATAAGGTCGTAGGAGCTGATGACGTGCATCGTAAAATTTTGCTACTATTATTACTCTTTAAGATACTCATAATTAGATATCCGTTATAAGTATTAATGATAGTTTATTGATAATACAAAAAGAAAGATTTTTTTCACTTATTTCAACTTTTTAACTTAATAGTTAAGATAAATATTATTGATTTCAAGATTAATTAATTTAAAAGTCACTTATTAAATAAATCATATATACCTACATACTATTGCCTATAAGCAAAATATCAAAATAGCTAGCTCTGATACTAAATTGATATTCAATGATATACACTCTGAATCACCGAGCGACACACAGTGTCATATCTCTGTGAGATTCTAATAAAGTATTAAAGTGACCTCATGACCCTTGTGATAAGTCATCGTATAATAATGGTAGAATACCTAGCTAAATATGACTTCTGTTCGGTTATAGTTAGTGGAACTGATTTTAATTCAGTTTTCGCAGGTGGGCGGGATGCCTAATGTATAGATTGTATCTGTAATTCAGTGCTATTCCTTATTTTATTTAATAAAAGCATAGATCATAATACTACAAGTGGCTGGAGTATTTCAGCTAATATCGAAGCTATCCAACTATTTCAAAGTCAGTTTAAGTGATCATACAATAGTTAGTTAATTATTCTATTTTATATATAAAACGTCCATTAATATTTGAAAAATACTGTAGCAGTAACAACATATCTGCAAAGCAATCGTAGCAGTTTGTGAAACTGCTGCTAGTAGACCAAAAATGCTCCCTACAAATTCAAGCCACTAAGTGACATCTCACTGTGAGTGCTATGGGTCGAAAAACGAATGGGATTCTAGGCAAATCAGTAATATTTTCAAGTTTTCGAAATATCGAAATATTTAACAAATAAGTACCTTAAAATTTATTTTGTGAAATATAAGATAAAACGGTTCATAATTTTCGAACATAACCTTTATTTTCACTTGTATGGTTTAGCAGCAGTAGTATTTAAATGTAGCTTGTAATGTTTAGGAAGATTCGGAACGGTTTTAACAACTTCGAGTAAAGTTGACCATCATCACCAGTCCTTTTACTTCCCCACTGCAGGGGCTCAGGCCTTCCTTATGGATGGTTAAGGAGGAGGGGCCATGACCCTCCACGCTGGCCCAATGCGGATTGGAGGGTATTAACGACTGTAAATGCAGCCGGGACAAACGGCTTAACGTGCCTTCCGAAGCACGGAGTAGCTCGAGATAATAATTTTTTGGTCACCCATCCCGTGACCGACCCTTGCGAAAGTTGCTTAACGACAACGATCGCGGGCCGCGGCGCTTATCCACTACGCCACCGAGCTACTTAAAATTGACCATTTTACATATAAAATGGAAAAAGTTCCAAGGTTACTGATATGGAATTTTACAGAATTTAATTGAAGTATGATTTATGTAAGCGCGAGAACAAGTGAGTAAATTATATTTAGTGACTGTATATCAAGTGCTTCTTTATTTGTCACGGTTATAACAGACAGGATCCATGGTAAGGGCCGTTGGCGACAAATCCATCAAAGCGTCGACAAGCCATTTGTTGCGTGTGTTTTCACGCTTGATAAATCGAGACTTGTCCACATTTATTCGATTTATGGATGCTCAATTTTCATATATTACATAAACTTAATTGGACATAGTTATTAAGCTTCTATTTGGTTTGGCACAAAAAAACTGCACATATTTTTCTGGTAACAAATGTGGAGTAGGTGCAGTTTATTTTTAAGTGTTTGTTTATAATCCACTATTTGGTACCGACTCGTACTACTAGAAAAGTGGAATGAGGTCAAAATTGAAATTTAAAGATGTCTTCGAAATTTGAAAATCAAATTCCAAATTCGAATAGCTATCGTGCATCACTCAGGCGATCCAGACACATTGATGTCGGTAACCTCCTACACGTGTCAAACATGGATATACAATCATAACCGATAACACCTAATATAACTATGAGCGATTTCTAGAACTTTCAAAATAGCATTCTAGTTGAATTGCACATGAAAACAAATATTTCATTTACTTTTTTCTTGCTCACATATTTACATGCCGCGATACGTAAGTGGCGTTTCTCACTGGGCACGCAAAAATTATTTATGGACTCTTTTATTGCTAAACTTCATTCGTTCCTGCGGTCGCTTTTATTCCTTCGACGGGTAAAAGTTATGAGATTTTATTGCCGGTGTGAGATAGGACACGTTATTGCACTAACTTTGCACGTTGGATGGAATTAAAATAGATTTTTTTTTGTGGTCAGACGTAGGACGCCCGGATGCGAGGTGTGCTGGTTTATGACTGGCTATATTTAACTACACCGCGGAATACTCTACGGCCACAAATTAGTTAAAGTGTTACTTGCAATAATTTGTGATTCGTCGCCAGATAAATAACAACCACTTTATTCAAGAAAATATGACCCAAAATTGCACAAAGTAATGTAAAATATAATTTATTACGAGAAAACACTAACACCTTACCAACTCGGGCTTTTGTTAACAATTTGTCTGGATAACATCAAAAGATAATATTTATATTTATGACCTACATAAAAATAAATTCAACAAAATTCAGTTGATTGTTTTTATTATCATAACTAGTTTTAATATTTCGAACGAGTAAAGTAACGTATGATATCTTTTTCAGAACTCGATTAGACACAACCTGTCGCTACACAACCGGTTCATGCGAGTGCAGAACGAGGGGACAGGAAAATCGTCCTGGTGGATGATAAATCCTGATGCGAAACCGGGCAAGTCGGTGCGAAGACGAGCAGCGTCCATGGAAACTTCAAAATTTGAAAAACGGAGAGGGCGTGTCAAAAAGAAGGTATAATTATTGTACTACATTATACAAAAAGTTGTCGTTTCTCATAATAGAAATATAATATACTTTTAAAAATCATTATTACAATTTCGCAGGCTGAAGCTTTAAGGAACGGCGTAACAGCTGATGCAACTCCAAGTCCTAGCAGTTCAGTTTCAGAAAGCCTTGATATGTTTCCTGAATCACCACTTCATAGGTAAATATATCAATTAAATAGTAGAATCAATAAGCTTAGCATAGAATTTAGATTATTAGTATCACAAAAGTTCCTCGGTCAGATTAAAACCACAGATGTATGTAAGCTTAAGAAACTGTGGCACCAAGCCAACAATGTCAACCAAAACGGATATAGTGGATAGCGATACTAATTCGACTTTAAAGGCATAATAACTCACCTATACGGGTAATACAGTGGCAAAATTGCCAGTGCCACAAATATCTCGATATATTCTTAAACAGTCTGCGTTTCTGGAAATATTGAAATTTTATGTATGCTCGAAACAACGTGAGGTACGGTGATACAGTGGCTATAATAAAACTATCGGCGTAAAGCTTCGTTGACCAGACTAATAAAATTGAGTTATTGCATAACTGCTACTTTATGATAAAAGGTTTTAAATCATTCACAACCATTAGATGATGAGTTATGTGAATGCTGAATCTCGTCATTTTGGCGATATTTAACGTTTTTATTGCCGAATTTCTTTCTAGATTACGGGCATAACTTTTATTTTGGACAATTGACTACGAATGATCGAAGAACGAACTGACAGCACATTTCTTATAGAGCATTTTTGTCATTGTCTGTAACAATAAAAATATTTCTAAGCTGACCATTGAACCCGTTATGGCGATCGCTTCATTTAGCATACTTTATATGTTAGAAGGCCTCCGAATAGACATTAGATTTGCATGTTTCCCATTACATTTCGTGTTATATCGTACATTGTGATGATTTTAGATAAACTAGCTTTAAGTTTTGTTTCTGCTAGAAATTTTAATTATTTGCCCCCTCGTCGATTGAGATGTGACCATTTCCAAAGAGAAGTTAACGTTTTCAAGACTCTGTGGTCACACAGTCTTCGTCGATGTTTAGGCTGATTCTGAATTTTGTGCTTGTTTGCTTGCGTGTAGCAACAGTTTTCAGCTATCGCCGGACTTCCGTCAGAGAGCACCTTCGAACGCATCTTCTTGTGGGCGGTTATCTCCTATTCCATCTCTGATTGCCACGGAACCAGACTGGGCGTCGGAATACGCCACAGACTTCGCTTCCAATAGCGAGTTCACACAATCCGTCGACTATGCCCAAGAGGAGCAGTTAGCTGGCACTTTAGCTGATTCCATGAAGCTGCAAGGAGCTGATCCATTCCTAAATACGTAAGTTTCCGGTGATTAATGCTTCTCATTAAGAGCAAATTTTCGTACCACAAAAATTTGCTCTTAATACTGTTAAAATTTTCAATTTATTTAGAAGCTGCTTACTGTTTCCTTCGTTCAGATTTTTATAGATTTAAATAGTAAACTATTTAGAATGCTTTGCTTTTAGAAACGTTGGATTACACTACCTATTTATACACTCGAAAAATTTACTCGGCTTCATTTTACTCGAAATTATAAAATTCAAAATTTTATTTTATGAAAAAGCGAATATTACATATTATTGAAGAAATTTCATGATTTTTGCGCTTTAAAATTAGTACTTTCACATGTGCCGATCATGACATGGGTGATATGACCAAATATTTATAATTTCGGATGCTTCTATTCTTCAGAAAGCACGTAAAACCGTTGGTACCTACTGTATTTGTTGTCATTAATATTTACACTGGACTCATGTTGCGGGTGTGTTATGGTCCGTTTTTCCTATGCGATCCCATTCATAGGGAAAGCCTGTGCCACAGCAGTGGGGCATTCATACTTTGATGATAATAATAGTCACAAGCTCAAGTTTCGATCCAGATATGTACCAACGACGTCGTCGTCATCCTCTGGAAGCAACTACCGGTACACCTACGGTGGTTGCCCACGGCATCCACACGGCGGATGTGCATGTGCATCAATGTATTCACATCCAGCGCACCCCGCGCATCCAACACACCCACACCAACATGCCCTCGATCACTTCGTCAGGCCACCACCTCCAGCAGATCCAGCTGATATCATGCAAACAGGTACATATTGCTTTTATTTATTAGCACCTTTCGCGCGACTTTGCACTTGAAAATTATAGCCTATGTCATTCGCGTGTGATGTAGAGTTTCCTGTAGATGAATGAATTTTTGAACTCGGTCATCTAGTGTCGTCTGTTAAATGCAAATAATTAAATATTTCCTCTTTTTAATATAAATACTGATTAATTATAAAAAATAAACAACTGTTGATAGTACAAATGAAATTTATATGATGTTAAAAATATCAGTTCTTAAATTGTGGAATGTTGGATAATTGCTTCTGTTGTGGTCAAGGAGCGCAAAAATGTGAAACATTGAATAGTTTATATAATTAATAAATTTACAGCTAAGGAATGAAATGCATTGCCTGGTCATGTATTACCCAATCAGTATAACCTGGCACTCTTCAAAGACATAGTGCATAGGCACTTCCTGGGTAGCATATACCATCTTCGGCCACATCTTACTTACGAGTACCATCAGGTCAGATTGTGGCCAAATATCAACCCAGAGTTAGAATAAAAAAATACCTTGAAATTTTACAACCTACGCAAAAAGAAATCAAAAAATTTGAAAATAATATAATTTTGTAAAATATAGGTAAAACAAAATATAGGTAGCAGAAGAATTCTGTTTCCGTAAATCTTGGTTATTTTTTAAACTATTATTAATCTTTTTAGAAAACAGTCAAACTCAAATAGTGACGACATCAGATGCAGCGCTAATGAACGGAGGACTGATGGTGCAAACAGGTGCCATGGGTCCCACAACAGTAATGGGGCAAATCATGGGGGCTCTTAATACGGGGTTGGCGGAAGATTTAAATATAGAAGCTCTTGAACATGGCTTCGACTGCAATGTTGATGAGGTGAGATAATCTCATAGAAAACTACTTAACAATTTCAATTGACATAGCAATTACATGGACATTTAGATATAATTCAAGTTCTGAAGTTTCTACTTGTTAGGATAGAAGAAGCAATGAAATGTTACAAACGTTATTTGGTATCAAACAAAATAGAACAAATAGACAACTCCATACCCTCAATGACCAATGAAGTGAACATTGCAAATAACAGATTCCTTTGCGATATCTTATTCTGCTATAGAGATATAGCTAAAAACACAAATATTACAAACTCATTTTGTGTCATATTATGCTATGAAGTAAATATGTCAATAACGGACTCCTGTGCGATAATTTCTTTCGCTATTTAGTAACAACTAATATTATCGTGTGTTATCGTCAGGTCATAAAACACGAGCTCAGCATGGATGGTTCCCTTGACTTCAATTTTCCGCAACAGCAGTCTGCCATGGCTGCCGAAGCTGAGAGTCAATTCGCTGCGCCCGCGCCGCCTGTGCCCACCACGCTCTCGGGTGGTGGTGCACCCCGCACCCCTTACTCCGCCGCCCCCTCTTGGGTCCATTGAACCTAACCCCGCACACTTCTGGACTCGATACCTACTTACAGGTTGTCAAACGTCAACGCGGTTTTCCTATTGTAAATATTGACGCGATTTTACTGTTTAAGTTAAAATTTTTATTTGTTTTGTTACTTTCGCATTGTAGTCGAGATTTTCTTTGTTCATTTTATGATGTTAACTAATGTTAGATTTTTATTTAGCGGTTAATTAAGTGGACTGTTACCGATCGTTGTTGAAGTGTCAATTGTGTTAGTGTAGGCTTTAGTGCTAAGCTAGGTGGAAGCTTGTGATATAGATAGGTTTTTGTAATCAGAATATTTGTTGGACCTTGAGGGGGTGCGCGGGATTTACTTGTGGCAGTTTGCGGTTGAAGTTAAAGGTTAGTATACAAATTGAATACTTTTAAACATATTTATACTATTTGGAAACAGCAAATGAGTTTTTGTATTTTTAAGTATCTTTTATTAGAAAACATTTTCTGGAAATACCATTCTACTAACTGTTGAATTAATAATTACCAAAGATCAGAAAAACCCTGAATATTGGACTTAAAAAGAAATTTAGTCTCGTAAAAGAAAAACAAATTTCAAAAGCTGATTTCCTTTGAAATACCAAGAGGAGTTGCTCAAACTTAAAAATGTGAACAAAGCTTTTGCTTGGCGCTGAAATATTAGCAAACAGTTAACAATAGCACGAAGCAATAAATCCACGAAATATCAGCGATAATCTACGAAAACTTTCGCTAGTGTCCGATAAGTTGCCGTGTATCGCCATCAACAAAACTATAACTCGGTTGTTTCGTGAAAATGGTTATCTGACCTCTTTCACAGCATTTAGGGATATTCAACTAAAAGTTATTCGGAGAAACGTATCTATTTCAGAGCTTTTTTTTTGAAGTAACGAATTCGTCTTGAGCAATTTTAATACGAAGTTTACACAATAAGATAACATGTTAATGGGTATAAGATATCAACTAACTGCATTTAAGGTAGGTATATGAGACAATCTACAATAACTGATGACCTCTGTAATAAAAACACTGTTTATAAAATAACCACCCGATTCTACGTTCTTATATTACATTGGTATTCATTTTTTCTTCTACGTCATCTAAAATTTCTTAGGAGGGTTTTCCTACGACATTCTGCTTTATGACATTGGTGTTACAAAAGATAACTACGTCACTCATGTTTATGTTTCTTTGTACGTGGATTATGAGACGTGATGCTATCTTTTTTTATGTAAAAAGCCTAGAAAAAAGGAGTTAGGTAGTTCCATCTGAAAGTATTATTTTGCAAATTATATTATCCAATGAATAATATACTTTGTGCAGAAAAAAATTGAGTATCGAAATATTTCCACATCTTTCGCCTATTGTGTACAGTTATCGCTTAGAGAAAAATGTATCTTAGAGTATTTGAACACCTCAAAATTTTCAAGATACTGCTTATTTAATTTGTTATCTGAATTTAATTTTGTTGTACATATAAGAAATATGATTTGTCCATTTGCTTTTAGAAAATAAACTATTGAAAATGAGCTCCATTTATTCCTATGAATAATAATTATGATTAGACTAGGATTGAGCGCGGTTCGCCGAAGCTCCTGATTCAATTTCACCAATGAATGATCCTATTTGTTCGCTAATGAGGGAGACCGGTCCCAGTAATTAATCATATCATTTTAGCGTAAACGGTGCCCATCGCGGCGTGCCGAGCGATCGCTCCCAAATAATAGAACACCAAGAAAAAAAATCCGAGAATACAACGCTAGATTAAACCCGCTTCGGTAATGACTTGTTTTTAGGGTTACAAAAGAATGAATACGTCTTCAGCAGACGGTGAGCCAGCGATGAAAAAAAAACCTGTTAATTTTAATACTTGTAAACTAGAAAGCTGGGGAGCCAATGGGGGAAAATAAGAACTTGATTTTTGCTTATTTAAAATCCACTGAAATTTAATATTGCCTTTTCGCTTTTGTTTATTTAAGATTGGCACGTGGAAGCCTTGTTATTATGAGATCGATTAGTGTTTTACTCATTCAATCAAAGAACTCTTTTCCATTTGTCTTCACCGACCAACATTTAATCCTATCTAAAATTTTATATATTCGCGCTACATATCTTGCAGCTTTAAAAAAAATAAGGAGAAATAAAAAAAAATATTCTTCAATAATATAGGTAATTTGTTTTAAACATTGGTCTTAAAAGAAGAACAAACCACTTCATTACTCTCTTTTTATTTACTTCACCTGTCGAGACATCGGTCAACACTCCAAGATTTTATTAACAAGCTGATTTTCATAAAGAGGCTCGGATGGCGGGAGGTGGCGTTTAAATTTCCCAACTCATCCCGTATTCCATACAGCTAGACTCGTAATTAGGTGCGACCGACCTTTACACACGATTTCTCGGCACTTGTTAAAAGTTTTCAATTGCGTTAGGAGGGGCCCTTACGCGGAATTTATTCATTATATTCGCCCCCCACGCGCCTGTTTTATAAAAAGCTCCTTTGCTCTTTTTATTTCCCTCTTTAGACCTCGAATAATGTTAAATATTTGCTCTGTATGCTTGCCTGATGAACACTGTATCAAAAATTTATTAACTAGATGACTTAGTTGATATAATTTTGATGCTGTCTTTTATTATTAAAAGTAATATAAATTATCAGCTTAATTTATTTATATAAAAAGGAGCAAACTCATTTCCATCTTAAAAGTACGCATCCCCATAAAATCCTATGAAAAAAGTCGGATGTCATTTTAAAAGTTGTGAGGCTCAATTTTCGCATCCAATATAAGTCGGTCGGATGAGCTCGGCATATCCAATAAGTTCGCCTCCAGTTATTGTTTGACAGCGTCAGTTTGATCAGTTATTTAAATGAAAGCCAATATAGTTAGAGCTGTCAATTTTTCCTGAGCCTTACGTGACTGCGGACTCTCATTCGCTGGCATAGACATTTTTATCACGTCCTGCTGTCTTATTAAAGTGAACCTCGTTTCTGGAACAATTTGAGCCCCTTGAGGCAAATCGGGGTGAAGATTAAATCAATTACCTATTAAAATGTTCTTGGACCATCGTGGTGACATTATTATCGCTTAATAAATTGCTCTACAAAGTGAAAATCATTTCGAGAGAAACTAAATTGTGGGAACACAAAATTAATAAAACCAGCTGGAGTAGCATTTTATATTTAATACAAGTAGGTATAATTGAGCATAAATGATATACAATTAGGTGATCTTTGAGAAATGAATCGTATTAATTTTTCCTTTACTAAAATTTTCATCTCAATATTCGTAATAATTTTATAAGTAGGTACTTACTTTGTTTCAATAGCTTCATGAAGGCACAAAAGAATATTGTTTATAATATGAAGTGAAAGGACATATATGTCATTTATTCACAACTCTTGAAGTAAATAACTAATAATCATAATCTAATATTTAAGGGGAAAAGAATCTTATTTTCTATTTAATGTAAAAAAAAATTCAGTGTATCTAATTTTGTCGAGGGCGATTTTAGCATTCTTCGACGTTGTCGGCCGCTGGCAAATTGGATTACGTGATTACGTGTTAACTGTCGGCGCACGCTCGCGTTCCTAACGATTTTATGATTTTATTGTATACCCCCAATGCGCGATTATGACCAGGAACAAATTAGGCCGCTCAACTTTTACGGATGAACAGGATTTAAACTTGGAAACTTTTAGGATTTGTATAAAAACTTTTTGGGCTAACCTTTAAATATCATATCGTTAAACTGTGACAGTCATAATATTGCACCCCAATGAAAGCCTAGTCAATTTATTTAACAATGATTGTATCGCATGTTAAATATCGTAGTGTTCTTTATATTAGTATATAGGTAACGAGTCGCTTATGGAATCGGAGCGCTGAGGTTTTAGGTTAGCCTCCGTTTCAGATTTTGATTTATTAGATTTTTTGTTATGTTGGGTTTACAATTTGAAATTGCCTACAAAAAGTAAGTAACTTCTATCTTCAAATGAAAGGTGTATAAATATAGAAAGCATCATACATCAAAGAAAAAGATTTGAGAGTTTACACGCAATAGAAAAAGAAATATTCAGTCGAAAAACAAAACTTAAAAGCTTTTAAAATCACATCTCAAACATAATTTTAGCATTTTCCCTCTCAGTCTACCCGAAAAATGGCCGGAGTAAGTGAGTGAGTGGTTATAAAGACGCATTCCGCCAGCGACTTCGCCCGCGATGTACCAGGGATGATGTTATTTTTTAAAAAGAACATTGGCAATTAAAATTTTCAAATAATAATAATAAAAATAATAAAAACGAGGTTGGAATATTACTATAAAAAAGTTCCCAACAAACTTCCTTCGGTTTTTATTACGTTTCGTCTTGTAAACACAGCCCATCGAAACTCGTTGTTTAAAGTACGACATAAGAAAAATAAAATTGCTTGCATAACAGTTGAAATACGAAGTTTTTAAGCACGTGGATGGAGGGGCGTTGGGCGTAAATGCCCCGCCCTCATGCAACAGGTACCTCGTCCCGCGCACCATTTACCCCTCTCTTAGAAGTTTCAGGCGTATTTCTAGACGCAGAACACCTTATGAAACCTTCTCAAGTTTTACCGTTTCGTGTTTATATAAGAAAGAATAAAATTAGCATAATAAAAAAAAATGTTTTGACATGTGTTGTTTCCCGAAAACAGCGTAGATATAATAAGATTATTGCCGAGAGTAAAATCGGTTCATAATTGACAGATTTCTGAGGTATCGAATACATAAAAATGCTTATTAATTTATTTATTTATATAAAGAACCCACACTCCTAAGGACCTTCCATGAGCTAGAGTCAATGAAATTGACTCTGGTTACACAAATAGAATGGCTACACATTAAATGTTAATTCCCACAAAATCGACATATGTTTGAGCAGACTGAAATACATGTAACAAAAAAATCGAAGTTACTAAAATTGCATTTTCAAGATATCAGTAAAGTAACCCATACACGTGATTTCTATAGATTTTTGCAAATTTCCATTAGCTATTGTGTTATGGCAAATACGAAGAAGTATAAAGATTGTTTTTTTGTAACGCGTGCGACATACGTTAAATCATTTAAGTTTTTATGAACTTCATACTGATTTCAATTCCTTGCATCGTAGATTTTTTTGCAATTGACATATAAAAGCAATTAATATTTCACAAAAATCAAGCTTGCCAAAATGGAAGAAAATGGCCGTTCTGCGAATGTGTTAGAAAAATAGCGCGATTGCAGTTTTTGTTGATCTAAGATCGCAAATTACATTGAGTTTTTTATACATAACGATCTTTAAATATCACCTAAATCTTTAAGTTAATAAATTGATAAATATTATATCCTAACTGACGATAGATATGTCATCTAAAATACCTAATAAAGCATTTAATTGGATGAAAGAAATTAGGATAGATCGTATAACTCTGTGTTGATTGTAGCTTTTAATAAGACTAATTAAGGTATCAGAATGTAATTATAATATAATGAAAGCTTTGATATTTTGCGCCACTAAATATTTCGTGATTTCGAGTCGTAATTATTATTTTTTGGAATATTCGGGAACGTAACAAGGTAAACTCGCTTAATTTAAGGTAATATTCTGACAATCATTACAAAGAAACAAAATCTATTGAACTTGGAAACTTTGCTTTGAACTTACTGCATATAAATAACAGTTTTTTGGCTTTCACATTAAATAAACATTTAACTTTCCGCCCGACTTCAACCGTAATTGCTTGAACATATAAGTGGTTTATTAAAATAAGTATTATTTTGTGAAGTCTACTTTATTTTTTAAGTGTATATGATTTTATTATTTTTGTTATATAAACTTGATTTGAAGATTTTGCTATTTCGTCGAATTTGAATTGAAATGTAAAGTGATAGCAAAATAAATCACCTAAGTAAGAATGCTTCAAAATGTTTTTAATATAAAAACAAAATTGCTGCCGTTTTCTATGAATTTTATGAAATTACTTCAGGACTAAATTACTCTCAAATAATAAAAAAAACGGTTAACAATTCGCAACTAAATCTGCGAACATAATAAAATATATCCTACCAGTCGAGCACCTGCTCCTTTTATTAATCTTGGTTCAAAATCAACGTACAATAATATAATTATTAGAATATTTTTAATTCTGCGCAGTTACGGCAATACTATTTATTATAAATAATAAACATACATATATGTTTATTTACTCCCTTTTTGTTACGTTTAAGGCCACACCAAAAACAAAGTTGAATTGGTGTTAAAGAAAATTCTAAATTCAAATTTGGCGTCCCATAAAATCTCAAAAGTGTCTCAACCTCCTTGCTGCGAATAGGAAGTGTGCCCTAAATAACAGACTAAATAACTCACTGGAAGAGGTCGAACGTCCCTTGTATGAATAAATTTGCACGAACACCGCCCCGGAATCACTCGATAACCAACAACGCCTATGCTTTATAACCCGTGACATCCGAAACTCGATTTATTGTCACACTGTCTCGCGTCGAAAAAAAATTCGGGAGTTGCGTTTGATCTTTCTAGGGCACACTTTAACATTTACTAAGCAAGTCGTATCGTATTTTTGTTTTAGTGTCAGTTTTTTGTTTACAATTCCACAGAAAAATAAAACAGGCATTTCGGTCTCTCGGCTACCTACCTACCTACCACTGATTGTTAGCACTAGGAATATTATTACAAAGAATAGTGGAAGCCAGTTATCTGCTTGTAATGCTGATAGTTTAGAAAGCAATATCAGATAGCAATGTAGGATACCTATATATTTTAATTTTCATAACTTATATGAAATTACATTGCAATATTTTAGCAACAATGAAAATAACATATAATTACCATTTTCTATAAATATTGCGTTCTTATGAAAAACAAAAATAAAAAACACTTTACTTGTATATTTTGCTATCATTTTTATCAATTTCAAGTGCTCTGATTGGAATCTGAATCAAAAATAAAAATGTAGACTTCATATCTACCTATCAGTATAAAGATTAAAACTCAATCGAGATTCAAAATTGGAAATATATGTTTACTTCCAATATAACCTAGCGATTGACGATTTGGTTTTTGACCAAGGGGACTGTCATTCACACCACCATGGACCTAACTACAATTTTAGGAATAAAACTAGTAGAATATATATAAATAAGGTTACGGCCCTTTCTCATTATTTGTTTGAATCGGCAGCAGATGAGCTTAACATACAATTGCTAACCTCAAACTATGTAAGTCGAAATTACATTAAAATACGAGATATCAAAATATTGAAATTACCTCACAAAAGACCTTAGTAACCAGACTAGTTTTAATTTTCGTAACTCATTTTAGTGAAAACCCGTTCTAAATAAAATCGGGTTTTCACTTTTGTGTAAATTATGTTTTACTGTAACATTTTCATGTTACTTTTTTCTGACAGGCGGCGGCGTCGACAGGTTTGAATTTGGTTTTCTAAACACTTTTAAGAAACTTCATTAGTTCATCGGAGGACCATCATTTTAAAACAATAAGAAGATTTAATTAATAAATTCTCTGTATCAATATAATTTCCAGTTATTGTAAACAATTATCTTTTTTTTTAGATAAAGGTAATTAAAATTATTTGCTAGGTAATCGAGTTCATTTGGCAAAATATGAATAAATTTGTCATTTTTATGGTGAGTTTATCGTTTTGGGCACAAATCGTATTATTTGGATTATTAAACATCAATTTAAACTACATATACACATGTATTATTGCTAACGAATGAACAACGCTAAAAAAGTACGTTATTCCAACTGCATCCAACTTTAAGTATAGACTGTAATTTGAAAAATTCCGTAATTCATAATTCCAAGTGTTATTTTATTAAAAATTACTACAAAGTCGCGCTTGATGAGTTATCAAAGATTCAAACAAAGGTAGACAATTTTTATAGTCTATATATTTAGTTGTTTTTTGATCAGCTGATACATAAGTATTTGAGGCAACATACAAAAACAAAAAAGCACAACTAATATTCAGTATATACCTATTATTGGTGAGTTGGTTATGAATGAACATACCTATGCAACAAACTTAAGCCTTTCACCCACGACAGCTTTTTCAAGAATTTTATTATGATCTGAATGAATCAATTTCCTCAATCAAATTCAGCCATATAAATAACACAAAAATATTATTTACATATAATACAATATAGCTGCTGTGCAGCCGTTGGCAGCAAAACGGCTGCACAGCAGCAGCAAAAGAAGTATTTTATTCATTTTTTTATATGAATATTTAATTTAAAATGGCACTAAGTGTTTCGTTTGGAACAGACTCAATGATGAACTATTGACAAAAAAATTAAGGATTTTCAGTATTTTTTTATCATTGAACTGTAATTTGAACAAATCATAATTAGTTTAATTTGAATTTACCATACCTAGAATAAATGTACAAAAATAGAGGGTACCACACGGTGCTAATAACTCGGTTTCAATTTATCTCCTTTTACAACTACCTGCTATTATTTTTAAAAAGTGGCGAGGTTAAAAACCATCTGCAGTTTGTAACTTAGTAGTTATGTACAATTTCCGTACTAAATTAACAGTTGAATTTACAAGCTAAAAATATATATTTTTAGATCGAAGGTCGTTGTTGACCTACAACCTCGCCGTAACTTAAAGGAATTTAGGAAGGGTTATACAACCCAAATGAATTGGAGTGACGAATTAATCCGGACTATATTCACATGAGCCAGTTTTATGGCAGTCTTATTTCGGGATAAGTATGCCAATTATCTACATCGCGTATTAAGAGCAGCTCACTTTATTCTCAGCAATGACTCACCCAGAGAAAGTCCGTTACATCGCTGAATATGCGACAGATTTATCGTGGTTTGATAGAGATGAGAGCGTTTGATATTTCCGCATATGTCGATAGGCTGCTTCTTCGTCTCCTTTTTTAAACTTACAACTGCATATTTATTAATCATATTTTTTGGTTACTCTTAAAAAGGCAGATAGTTAAATTACTGTATACATAGTAGGTATATTAATATTATAAAAGAAATTAATTAGCTAAAGATATAGTGAACATTATAAACATACATTTAATAATATATACCTAAGAATAAATAGAAGTTCAAACTCAAAAGTTTTATTTTATCAATTACTTCTAATGTTATTATTATTCAATAACAATTTTATGTGACATTTTCTATAAAATAATATCGATATATGAGCAAGTCATCCCTACTGGGTCGTCACCTGGGAGGAGAGGGGAGCGGGGAGCCGCAGACTTGGCGTCGCTCAGTCGGGCAGGTTACGATTTACACTCCACCAACTCAGCACAAACTCTCTCGGACGAGAAATGCTGATAATCCACATCCAGACGCTGCGTGAGAATTACATACAGATTACTATGATATTGTCGTCTCGTTGACGTTTTTATAGCATATGGGGATTTTAATTAAGGAGCAAAGGTTTATTGGCGATAAATATCTCTTGATCGTATTTATTACATAATAAAACCCATATCTGTGAGGACCTTTGGCAACTTTACACATTTTCAAGTTGATAACGTCTTTTTTTGATCATGTTTAGATCATAGGACTTAGCTCGTAGTAAAAAAAAAGATGTAAACATGGATATTTAGTATCAGCAAAATAATTTTACTTCCATTGTGCTACCTACGTGAAAACGGTGTTGGAAAATATAACAAATACAATTGGTTTAGGACTTTTTCTTTTATTAAATTAAAATTTCTTTACAACTCATAAAAGGTCAAATAGTACAAATTCTTGCCTTTCTTTCTATTTGATTTTATTCCATTTCTAAAAACTGGGTAATGCAGCAAAAAATGGATGTGCTTTCTTGATATTTAGAACATTACATAGACTCACATCAATAAAAATAAAAAATACTATTTTAATAGTAAAAGTTTACCTTTTCACTATATGCCATTTCATTGGATATTGAATGAAATATCAATGTTTATGGTTTGAAATGATTTGTTATAATACTTGTTTCTATTTGTTACAGATCAATCGGATGAGCACAACATGCCGCACAAGCTGTTAACGCTTCGACGTGCTGTTCTGCGTATAAAAATAATACTATAGAAAATAACTCCTACTGTTGTGTTTTGTCTTAACGAGACATCGCAACGGCATTATAAGATATACAACGATCATCACAAATGAACCAAATTCATGAAGACCAGTTATTTTGGAGACTGAAACTAGTGTACTAGTTTAAGACATTGATTGGCATACTAAATTGACGATCTAGAATGTGTGATTCGAAGTGATATTTAAATAAAAATATTTTTATTCAATTTAAAATTAACAGGAGCCGCTCGAAAAATTTATTGTATATACCTAACACGACCATCGTCTCGTTGCCCCCCTTGAAAATACACTTTATAATTATGAGAATTATTATGAAGTGAAAACAATAATTCATAATACGTTACAATGTATGACAAAAGTTTCAGGCTTTATAATCTGTGAGCGTCCAGGTTTTAATTGTACCGGTACATTGCCTGCTTAATTATTCGGTAACTTGTAGATATTAAAATTTTGCCATACTTTATTCTACCGCAATTCTATATTCGCATTAAATATTAATGTGGGCCAATTAATCATTAATATCTGAAAGAGATGCAGACATACATACTTGTTGTACGAATATTTTTCCATATACGATACATTGAGTAGAGTAGAAATCATTGTAATATGCCATAGCATTAAATATATCGTAGAGTTAATTGTTTTAAATTTTATGCTTACACAAACAAGAGCCATTTTGTACCAAAAAACAGGTTTACACTTTGCTCAACACCAAAACTAACGTTCAAATGCGTATACCTACAGTGAATGCACAAGTTTTTATAAGAATTATACTGCTCTGATGACAGTGCCTGTTAGAATATTTTGAGATGGATGTAAATGTTATACTGGTTGTTCGAATAATTTATAACAAACCGTTGGTGTTAGGAGTTGACGCACAAACAAAAATCCATTATAGTCAGATCTCTAGTCCCACATATATATTTTTAATAAGCGTCTGTGTCTAACTAACGCAGGTTTTACTCATAGATAAGCGAAATAGCGTGAGGGCGATCCCTCCTACCACGGAGAAAATCTCCTTTTTTGAAAGCAATCTCCACGAAATGTTATTAAATAATGTACTCAAATAGTAAACACATGCAATGGGTTTGACAAAAACAAACGGTGATGTATAGCTAACTGTTCTCTTAGTTCCAAATATCACGAGAATTATGTTTGACATACATATTTTGACATTTTGTTTTTCTCCAAAGTTAAACAAAAATATGATATAATTCATACTATGAATTACCTCAATGGACTGTTTGTGATAGATTTAGCCATTAAGTGTTCAATTTAGTGCGTTTATGATGTAAGTCAATTCTTATACCATTTGTCGTCCATTTTTGCATATAAAAAAAAACATAATAAATAATTTCGAGTAGCTCTATGATTTTTTTTATCCAGATATAAATTAATTTCTGAACCTTCACTGCTTTTATACTTTTTTATGTATATTTGCAGCTGACGATGGTGCTATAAAGACTATTTTTAATAAAATCATATTGAATAAATAGGTACATAAAAATATTTCAAAATTTTACTAATGCAAAGAATACTAACGTACAAAAAAATATGAAATAATGTGCGTTCCATTGCATGTATTTTTTGTAATTAGATCTCTTGATGTGTGATTTGTCAACGATATGTTTTAATTCCATAAAGTGTGTTTTGCATGAAAAAAATTGCTAAAAATTAGAGAGAATTATGAAAGGGATCTAATTAAAAAATGGACTATAAAAGTAGAATGTACCCATGTATTGCTGAGGTACTTATTTATGTAGATATGTCGAGGGACGCGATAAAAATCACACAAGTTAATTTCTACAATTTGTTTAGAATTATAGATAGCTAATGAATAGTTTTAATAAAACTTCAGTTGGCTTAAAGTCACGAATGTCTTTGATGTTCGACATCGACCCTTTACCTAGGTGATGGGAATTATTATATACTTATTAAACATTTGCCAAATATACATACGTAAAATAAAACCAACAAACTATTCAATTCTTATACATATATATTATACATTATAATTTAAATCGATAGTTGTATTATATGAGTGTTGTAGGATGATTAAACTCTTCGGAGATATCTCATGAATAGTTAAGGATGTTAGTTAATATATTATCTCCTGGTTGTTGAAATGTATTGAATATTAAGTAAAAACGGCGAGACGTGTTTATGTTAGTCCATGTGGTCAATTAAGTATGGACCGAATTAAGTCTGTTCGGTTAAGTTTTAGTGTTAATATGAAGGGATGATTAAGTACGAACATTCATAATTATAATGTGCTTTTAGTCTTGATTTTCGCTAATGTGGCTTTAGTCAATTAGAATTTGTAGAAATTTGTCGTTCATAATTTATACAAGCGATAATTAATTATAAAATCAGGGTTCTCTGTTGTTAATAAGCCAATAAAAATATTCCATTGAATATAAGTTTTTTGCAACCAAATTATTTGTCAATAAAACAAAAGAAAAACTGTTGAATACAAATAATTAAAGCTATAATCTATGTCTATGACTAGAGTCACAGTGGAAGTACAAGATGGTTTGTATATTGCACGAGTGGTATGGCATTTTAAATAAATAAAACGCGAATATCTTTAAAAAATAGTTAAAATAATATTATTTTTTAGGGCTTGGTCTCATATACAGCGAAATGAGCAAAACAAGTACGCAACCATTATCGAGTTTACATTATAGAACTTGTAATGTAATCAAATGCTTTCAATATATAGGTGTTACAATGGAAAATCTGGTTTAAAATGGAAATGCACCATGATAATTTTATCACGTACATTTCTTATCTTCATTGCATATATACATACTTACGTTACTCTTGACATATTTGAGACTAGTGAGTACCTTACACTCTAATAATAACACCCTTACTAATAAGAAACTTATAACCGTTGTTTAGTTATACATGATTAGTTCTATGCAAGTCAATCTGATCTAATCTGACTTTCAGATCGAGTGAAAACATCAAAACACTGTATAACTATACAACGCTTATACATATTGGTAAGACCGTATTTCTTATGGTGTTCATGAGGTACGTTTACCTAAACTTACAACTAAACTAATTTATCTATCTATTAAATTATTTCTAAATCCTTAGAATAGTGTAAGCAATCTTGGCATTTAATAAAATAGTCATTTCCCCTTATCAGTTATGAAAAGTTAAATAGAAATTCCATTTGTTAAACAAACAAGTATATTTGGATTAAATTCATATGTTCATAAATTCATTAGTAACTCGTGCAATGTTATTATATTAAGAGCCCCAAACAACTTTTATGGTAATATAGACCATTTTGATATGCGTCAACACTGTAAAATATTAAAAAAAAAATACCCGTGCTTTTAATGCTCAGGGGAATTTTTTGTAGCTTGTAATAGATCATATATTTTATTATAGGCAGTGGTTATTGCTTTGATAATAATCATGTAGTTATTTATAAGAGTGGGTACGCATCCCATAGCAAAAAAAATACTTGTATGTAAATTATTTTGTACAATGTTGAAAACTTTTCTATGTTTGCATTACTATGTTAATTGAGTAACATTATATTTTTTAATTTGTTGATTTTTATTTTCAGTTGCTTTATATTTTTATGACGAAAATAATATGTGAAAATTTTAGATAAATTAGAACAAATTATGTGTTTCAATGTAAATATATAGACGAAAACATGTATGTAGAAGTACATAAATATTATTTATGTATTATATTTGATATTGTTTTCAAAATTTAATTTGTTGTTTTATTGATTCACTCCCTTTTATAAAATAATAATAAAAGATGTTTGTAAGTTGGTAATAGGTATGTACGTACGCGTCAGTTGTTTCTCTGTTCTGAAGTTATGTGAAAACATGATTTTTAAGAGCTAGGAAAATAGTTTTTTGACATTTATAGTATGAATAATTTATTCTCTTTTAACTTTAATTTATTTTATTCTTGTTTCATCTTTTGGACATCAAATGATCTTTTCTATATTGTCTTGGGTCTGAGTGTTGTGATTAGTTGCTTCAATTTCTCTATAATGCCAGAACTTTTAGCTGCTCATCTTGAAGTTTAAACAACGTACCTGTGTGTTGTTGTATAATATTTATTTATTTACAAATATAGTAAACTTAATAAAGAATTGTCCTCGGCAGTTGCAGAAAATTCTTCACGCACTTTTGCTAACGAAGTATTTTGTATGATAAAGAAAATCAACTTGCATAAAAACATACATCGCTGTTGAACACAGACCACAATTTATATCAAAGGATTTAAGTTCGAACTAGCTGAAGGCTAATCTTCAGCCTGGAAAATTTTGCTCAAGCCAAATTTGAGTAGTGCGCGCCTTATGACCCGGGGCTGAATCCTGTTGGAATGTCCACACTTTGTTTTTGAATAAGGTATTGTTGAAAGGTTTAACTACTGCTTCTAACACGGTTTCTTGATACACTTTGACTTTTCACTTCTTTTTCGCAAAAAAATAATTTTGTAACCCCTTGGTAGGAGAAACCTCACCAAACCATGACGTTTGCTAAATGATGGCCCCGCTGAACTTTGGCCACCACCTCGGAAGCCTCTTTAGAGCTGTGTGCATACACTCGATCATTTTGTTTGTTGTAGCGCTTCTCGATTGTAAAAATTGTTTTCATCGGTAAAGAGAGTTTTGCTGTGTTTTTCGTCCGCATATCGTAGTAACAGCTGTTTAGGTCTTTCGACTCTCTTTTGTTTTAGTACCTGATTTAAAGTTTATCCTGTGTATCCCCGGTAACTAGGGGCTTACCGGGGATACACAGGATAAACTTTAAATCCCTTTAAAACCCTAAGCCTTGTTTGATAATCCGACAAAGTGTCCTCGGTGGGATTCTCATTTCTCTAGAAAAGATTTACTACTTCCTTATGGGATTTCGACGAATTCTGGCCTTGACTGCATTAACGGCCTGGTTAGTTCGAATATACCGCGGCCGGCCGGATCTCTCACGGTCATCAACAGACATGGTTTCAGTGTACCTTTGGATGGTACGATACACAAACGTTCGACTAATCCCTAGCTTTTTCAATGTATCAAATATGTCGGCTGGCTCCTTACCTATTTTGTACAAGGCAATTACTGTAATCCCATTCCCTTTAATGTCCCACTCCATTTTCAATACAAATAATTTCCAAACAAAAAACATAATACAATAATGGCGGGAAAGAAGCGGAAGCGGGAAGGCTATTTTTTATCGTAGAAGCTAATGTTTTAATATCAAATTATTGTTTTTTTAATGTATGTTAACAGCCAGTAACAGAATTTATGGCTAGACGAGGTATTAAAAGGACCTCAGAGATGGCGACATCGGCGTACGAGCCCTTTTACTTGAACTTTTATATTTATACAATCCCATTTGAAAGTAAATGAAATAATGTCAGTTTGGGTCAAATCTTACAAGCTAATTTTGGCACTTAATTATTAATTAAACGAAGCAACCCGAGCTTGAGCTCATTTGATTTGTCTATACAAAGCGGCAATGAAGGCTTGTAAATATCTGCACTCAAGTATGTTTTAAGAGAGTTCATTTATTCTTAATGTAAAATGTTTACAAAATCCACTTTGTCCCTGGTACTCGGCGATGGGATTCGAACCTATCTCAGAGTACCAGGGGAAAAATTTCTACACCCGCGTGGTTGCTCTACCGACTGAGCTACTCAGGACCTAACAGGACTGACAAATCTTTCAAGCACTTGTTACTTTGACGCTATTACAGAGCGTATTTTCATAAATGTTCAGGCAATCCACCCAAACAGCGGTAAAAAATATTTTTACAAATACAAACTTTCAATAAAGATGTTTTTTTTTTCTTTTAATTTATATTTGATAAACAAGTGACAGAATGGCTCGCACGCCGGTTTGAAGGTGTTGCCATCTCTGAGGTTCTGGATTCAATTCTCGGTCGGATGATAATTATACGATTCTTACATGAGTAAAAATATTGAATGTGCCGAAACATGAATTATCTATGGTTCTTGAGACTTAATAAATACTTTTTTTTTTACTATTTGCTTAATACTTAACAAACGCTTATTTAAAAAAACCTGCCAAGTTCGAGTCGGACCCTTTAGACTAGAAATAGTTGCGATTTAAAATATGCGGCTTAAATCGCTGTTGCTTTTGATTGCGTTGACAAAGATGTTTTTGATTAGATGATTTTGTTACAGCTTAAAGGTCGAGACTCCAGTAGAATTTTGTGACTCGAGTCACTCGGGCCAATTTACCACCTTACTCGAGTCATAGTCATGCTCGAGTTTTCGATTCACTCGAGTAAGAAAATTACAAACTTGCTTCTCAAGTGAGATTTCTCTAAGTAATTTTAAACAAATACCTATTGGTATAATATAAATAAAATACACATTAAAAGAGTTTTGACGTATTATTTATTTAAACAATCAGAAAATAAAAAGCGGCATATATTAATATAATAGAGTAGCGAAGTGATATCTAGTGGCATGAGTATCAACTCGATGCGACGAGTTGACCCAATAAATCGAGTGCATAGAGACTTAAGTGATATTTTTTCA